GCTCTTTATTTATGAGGTGGAATCTTTGAATAAAAATATTATGAAACGAGTATAATGCTATGCATGTATTCATGCATGAGAGACAAAATCGACATCACGAGTCCCCATACTTGGCAGTTCTGTGTGACCTTGTAGATTGTATGGGAGGGGGGAAGTTAATCATCATTTGAAAAAATTATGGAAACCTAGATCAAATATGCATATGCAGGGTGCCAGAAATTCGAGGTACGAGCATTGGTATCTCGGAAACCGTAATAGATATGGTTAAATTGGGGCAAAGTTGCCGCGTTGGGATGTACACATAGATTTAGTTGTCTTTGGATGTACACCAAGATGCCATCAAAAAAGTTTTAGAAATTTCAAGGATTGCTGAGTCTTTTGGAAAAAAACGGATTTTTTTGAAAATCAATTATATTTTTTTCATCCGCGATTTTTTAGAAAATCCAAAAACTAATTACACATTCTCATAGCCACTTTATTAGGGACATCTGATATAGTATTTTTAGATTTTCAAATTAGCTGCCAACTTAATTTTTTTAAAAACGGACGTGCATTTTTTATTTTAGTTTTTGAAAGAACTCGGCCTCCCAATTACAATGATATTACACACTTTATATTTTTTTTGTTTTGGGTGCCTTAACAACAACAAACTTATTGAAAATTATTTAAAATAAAGTCCGACTCTGGTTTTTTAAATTATTTAATCTGATTATATTCATCGCAACAATATAGATCAGCGCTAATTAACATTGAATTAGGAAAATCGAGCCAATTGAAAGATTCAAATAAATAATGTCCAGGTCGGCAATTTAAAGACATTATTTTTATTTTTTTTATTGTGAATTTGAAATCTCAGTGTACGATCTAATAATAAAATCAACTTCTACAAACTAGTTATTAAGGTTCACATGTTCGAAAGGGTTACCACCCTCCCTATTGCACAAATTTATTTTTCGTTTAATTTTATTTATAACTCTTTGAACAGATCTTATTCTTATATTTCCGAATGTATTTTGTACTGTTTATTGTAAATGTTGAGATGTATTGATTTCACTTTTACAAATGAGGTGACCCCTCCGCCCCTTGGCGAGAGGCCGAGGAACCTCGCTGGTCATTATACTGCTCTACCCTCTACCATTTCCAATTCATCTTCCTGGGAAATTATTTGATTGTTTATAGTAATATTATTTATTTTATATTTTTTTTTTATTATTTTATTGCATTTGATTTTCCGTATTCAATGTTTTACCCTACGTCATTGTTAGGTTTGAAAGCTAATTTTAATATTGTAATGTTGTAATATGACTTGAAATTAGTTTAAATAAATTGTGTTCAAATATCCAAAACAAAAAAAAATATTAACTGTGGCATATCATTGTACTCAGGGGATCGAGTTCTTACAAAACCCAAAATAAAAAATGCAGGTTCGTATTTAAAAAAAATTAACTTGGCCTCTGTATCTCAGAAATTATCAGCTAATTTGAACATCTAAAAATACTATCAGATAGCCCTAATAAAGTGGCTATGAGAATCAGCAATTAGTTTTTTGATTTTCTGAAAATTAACGATAGGAAAAAATAAAATTGATTTTCAAAAAAATCCGTTTTTCCAAAAAACTCAGCAATCCTTAAAATTTAAAAAAAAAATTTGATGGCATCTTGGTGAACATCCCAAAGCGCAACTTTGCCCCAATTTAACCATCTTCGTATCTATTACGGTTACCGAGATATCAATGCTCGTACCCCGAATTTGTAGCACCCTGTATAGAGTTTTGTATTATACATCGCATATATGTACGTATGTAGAAATATTAACAATTTTCGATGTTATCAAAATTGTTATTTTCCACTATTATTATGTTTCATTCGCAATAACTTTGAATTAATAACTATTTTTAGAATGCATAAATCAAGAATTTGCCTCAGGAAGTACTTACCCGACAAAACTATTTAAATCTTAACAGATACATTAACAGAAATTTCGTTTGATCTGCTGTCGATTGAAATATATCGATATAATGGCTACATATTAAGTGATTTCGGTTTATTTTTTAAAAGTCCAGCCTTTAAAATTGTTTATATCTCGATCGTGTAAACCAGCAAAGATTTCCAAGAAAAAACTATTACGATCTTAAACTAACCCAAATCGCTCTTCGAGTAATATTCCATTAATATTTTAAAACTCATATTTTGTGAAATTCTAAGGCGCATCTTAAAAGCTAAGTTAAATAAATGGTTCGAGAATTTGATATTCCTCATTCAAAATCAAAGAGTGAATTTATGACTCTATAAAATGCGGCGTTGAACGGAATATAAATTTTATGAGACACCTTGTAATCTAGTTGACATATTTTTAGTAAGTTACATGTTTGATTTAAGTGTTTAAATATCCAGTTTTCGAAAAGCGTCTTTAAAATATCAGCGTATAAGTTTCTACATTTGGCTGGGCACACACAGAAAAAGGAAAACTGTTTTAGTCAAAAACGTTTTTGTCTTTTATAAAAAAATTATGTTTCGAAGATAAGCAAAATGTTTTATTTAGAATCAAATACGCTCGGCGGCAGATATAGAACGGGTTGTGACTAAAGATGTTTTATCATATAACTACTATCCAGCCCTCGACGTCGCGCGTGGATCAGCCTGACTGTGCCTAAACGAGCCTAATCCTGGGGCCGTATTCTGTAACTTTGAAAACGCTAAGCGCTTTTAGACGCTCAGTGTATATGACGTTAATTTTCGCTGATCGCACACTTAATTCACGATGTCGGTATTCTCGTCTGACGCGCTTAGCGTCTTTACTGATTGCGCTGAGCGCTTTGAAAACGGTTGCCTTAAAGGATCGTTTTGCTTGTCGAACTGTCAGTGAAAATCGAAAAAATTGTGATTTTGTGCGTTATCTTGCTCTTTAGTGAAAATTACTACTTCTAATTCCTCAATAAGCAATAATTGATAATTTACGACTTGGCAGCTATAAATATTGCTCAAAACATCGAAAATGCTGAGAAGCGTCTTCAACACTTCCCTCGTATAATAAGAATAATGACATATCCATAGAAAATAGCTTGACATAACTCAACAATAGGTTATGAAATTCACGTAACATTTACATTTTTCATTGTTATATCCGTCAGTTATCAACTTTTGACTATTATCTACATTAGAAATTGTGATGTTGCCAATATGTGCTCAACGCGTATCCAGAACACGATTCGCATGGCAACGAGAATACCAAAATCGACTGCCTTGCGTTTCGCTGATCGAATACTTGCGCTCACCGCTTTGAAAGCGTAACGTTTTTATGTCAAAGTTACAGAATACGGGCCCTGATCAGTGTACGTTAGCCCATTTAATTTGCATTGAGAAAACTCTGACTGTTTTGCTCTTTTTGTGTGTCCAGGCATAAAAGTTTCATCAAAATTTTCATGTATTTTTCAGTTCAATGTATTTTGTTCTAGTGGGCTGATTTTGATCATTTTTTAAGCAATGTAAAACTAAATTATTTGAATTTTTTGTTTCTTATTAAATTAAAGATTAAAGTTCAAAGTAGGTAAAGTAAAATGAAGTTCCAGTAAAGGAAAAACATGATAAGCACTGGATGTGTCATCAGGTTCTTTCCGTGTATTCTATATTTTTGCTAGGCATATATCATAGGATTTAACAATTATTATTGCCCTGCAGGGCTTTTACATTTTGTAGGGACCAGTTAGACCTATAATATTGTGAAATCCTAAAATTAAGAAATTGGCGCTTATCAAATTTTTCCCCTGGACCCGTCAAATGTTATTTTTGCGAAAGTTTGAAACACCCTGTGGAATAGTTTAAAAAGTAAGTAACATATTATAAAACACATTATTATCAAGGTGCATCTTTTCTGGATTGTTTATTTGCTTATTAAAAGACAAATAATTTAGCTAGATATTGCTTAATAAATTTAATAAATTATGAAGTTCGGGACTAGAACAAAATACATATACCGGGTGCGCCCCAAAAGTGGCTCAGCTCTATAATTCTTTTATTTTTTCAGATAAAAAACGCGATTTGGTATGTTAGTATATGCCATAAGTTAGGATTGATTGACGTATTCAATTGTTTTTGGTCACTTCCTGTTTCACCGGAAATGACAACAACTGTGGATTTTTAAATGGCACTCTCGGTCAATTTTCAGTTTATTCGATAGAAAATGATACTCTGAATAGAATGACATATCACATATATCAACTTTTCACATTTTTGCTGAAAAAATCGTATTTTAAATTAGAAATTAGTGTTGAAAACACTAATTTTTAATCAAGGAGCCTTGGAAAAATAGATTTGATCGTCTAACGTTTTTCGTGGCTTGCCCTGGCCGGTTAAAAGATGCCCAAATCGTATTTTTAATCATATCTCAAATTTTTCAAACGGAACAAGGGTGACTCAGCATATTTGGAGAAAGCATTTTTTGCGAATAATTTGATAAATAAATTTTTTTTCGAATCAGATTGCCTTTATGAACCGCATGTTACAACTTCAAATAAACCATATGTGAAAATGTCAAAAGTTGACATATGATATGACATTCTATTCAGAGTGTCATTTTGAATCAAACAAAGTAAAAAAATACCGATGGTGTCATTTAAGAATCAAAAGTAGTAGCCATTTCCGGTGAAACAGGAAGTGACCAAAAACAATTGAATACGTCAATCAATCCTAATTTATGTCGTCATACTAATATACCAAATCCGTTTTTTTTTATCTGAAAAAAATAATGAAGTTATAGGGGTGAGCCACTTTTGAGACGCACCCAGACGTTTTTCGTACAGGTCAGTGTAGATCAGAAATTTTTTGCACTACAATAATCCTGTATGCGATCTCTCGACTAAAAATATTTTCAATATGGCGGCACTTCCGGAAGTACCAAAAGCTGACAGGAATCCATTTTAGATAAGAAATTTGCTGTCAACTTCCGGTACTTCCCGGTTATTAACCATAAAATAAGTGAGGTTATATACATAAATAGGTTACCGTTCTTCTTATTAAACTATGTACGCCTTGGTCACGGAATACGGGCATGGAAAATGGAAACCACTGGGTCAGGTTATAGTAGGATGAGGTCTGGAAATATTAGAAGAACATTGGGGTAAGTTAAGGAATCAAAAGGAGTCTCCCATGGCGATCTCTTAAAGGAATATAAGATCCCTGAATGCAGTTGGGTTGCCATAAATATGTTAGCATTATCTGCAGGTGTTTGAAACTTTGCAGATGATGAGAATTTTACATAACATCTGAAATGAGATTTTTACAAAAGTCTCACATTAGAAAATATCTATATGATTCGAATATGATTTGACATTTGGTTCTGGCTTACATATAATTGGTTTAAAATTTCTATGAAGCCTTAACTAACAAGCCCATAAACTAGCAATAATGTAAACATTAACATACAGAAATAGGAACAAACACTCCATATTATAATATAGGTAGAATTCAAAGAATGTTAAGCTTTGGGAATTATTTCATTAAATGAATAGCCAATCTAGTAAACTTTATACAGGGTGTTTCAAAAAACATGTGCCATCTCTCGTGAAAAGATTCCTCATGTAAAAATAAGATTTATTTTTCATATCAACATAGGTCGGATTCTGCTTTATTTCGTAGATACGGGGTGCTAAAGTCTTAATATTTTTTCGATTTATTATAATTTTCTTTCAAGTACTTTTAGCGTTTCGAATGAAATTTTGAGGGTAAAAGTTACTATATAAAAGCGACATATTTTAAAGCTAAAAAAGTATCGACATATTCACCAGGGACGTGCATATGGGCTATCACTGGAATATTTCTCTAAAAAAAGCATGTACGCCACTGACTTTATTTTTTCGTTAGCGAAATAGTGTAAGCAGTTTAATGCCGATTAAAAGTCGTCTCTTGATATTTTCTCACTTTCGGCCTCCTTGATGAGATAAACGCAATTTTATTAATTTGCCTTAATCCAAGTCTAATAGCAACCTTTAAAAAAAATTAATATCATTAACTTGCGAATGTTTTAAATAAGTACTCATTGGTTCCTCATCAAAAAATATGAATAAAAGTTCCTATAAATATGGGTATGGAAATACATAGTTTTAGAGTTACAGGATGTTAAAACTTTATAAAATTCGGGTTTTTGTAATTATCTTAAATACCATTATTTTTTATTTGAAATTGCTGTAGGTTTGATTAATAGTAATATGAACTAATACTAATAATATTTAATAATAAATTAGATAAAATATATATAATTTATTAATTTTATTTTTATTTTAATTTAATTAATTGTGATTAATAAAATTGCGTTTATCTCATCAAGGAGGTCGAATTCCACAAAATATCAAGAGATAAATTTTAATTGGCATTAAACGGCCTACACCGCAATTTTGATACCAAAAGAAAAAAGTCAGTGGCGCACATGTATTTTTTTAAAAAATATTTCAGTGACTACCCATATTATATATACTTTTTTAGCATTAAAATATGTAGCCCTTCTAGTAACTTTTACCCCCAAAATTTCATTCGAATCACTAAAAGTACTTGGGAGTAAATTATAATAAATTATAATATTATTAAGACTTTAACACCCTGTAACTACGAAACAAACCAAAATCGGACCTATGTTGATATGAAAAATAAATCTCATTTTTACGTGAGGAATCACTCCACGAGAGATGGCACATGTTTTTTAAAACACCCTGTATACCTATAAGCGATACCAATTAAACTTTTAGTTACGTCATCGAAGACGCGGTTATTAAATTCATTGTTGCCAACCATGGACATATTCAGCGCCGGGCTGGATAAATGGAATTTAAATTTCTTTAATTATTACAATTGATTTTTTTATTAAAATATTTTGATTAAAAGAACATAATATGTAAAAGTGGGCAATGCTGTGCCAGTCAAGCTTAATCACGTGACTAGAAGTTTATTTGGTATGATCTATACATAATCATTACACAATAGATTAGCAGTAATTTAGAATAGTTTACACATAATAAGCTTACGTGAATACCGTATGATCGAATAAAAACGGCGTCAGCGATGGCTATGAAATGAAGATCGCTGTCATTTTATATGTAAAATTATATGGAAAATGTCATCGATCGTCATTTCCAAGCCAACTGGACGCCGTTTTTTTTCGATCATACGGTAGAATAAAGCACCAATTAACAATTGTGTTCTATTAACTAAAGAGCCTTATGCACTTCTACTGTGCACCACATAAAAATGCATGCAGATATAAAATATAAATTATTATTTCTTAAAAACGTTGAATTTGTTTAACCGCTTATATACAGTTGATCATATATAGGGTAAAAAACATGAAATATACAATTATGCACTTACTATCCCAGTTTCTTTTGTGTAGTTAACTCTAAGTAGGTCTATTTTTAAAAATTCTTATTTAAATTTTTAATAACATAATTTCGTAAATTCCAAGGTTAATTTGATAGATTGCAGTTGAAAAACAAACAAATTAAGCCTTTCCAGAAAATTGTTTCTTATTTAGAAACCGCTAGGAAAAAAGAAAATCAGACGTTTAGATATTTCAGTATTAACTTGGGAAATATAGTTCTAGGAACAACTGACTTATTTGAAGTTACCAAGTTATACTTGATTTGTCTAGCTTTTATACTTAAATAAAGAATTGATCATATAATTTTGTGCATGATATCAACTACAATTGAGAAGTTTCAATTCGGTGTTGTTAGCAGTGTCATTTACGTAACTACGAAAAACTAAACATTAATATAAATGAAATATGATTAGAAATTTATTATTATTAGCAAAAATGTTATAGTTGTCTCAAGCAACAACAAGCAGAACTTAGAGGGTATATTTTTATTAAATACCTTTGTGGTGGGTTCATTTCTCGAAAAGAATTCCAGGTTTTTCACCACTGGAAAGAAAATCTACAGAATAAAAAAGTTATATGTAAATACCACTGCACTGATACCGGAAAGCAAATTTATCAGCAATATACAGAATGAGTCTTAAATAAGTGCAAATATTTTCAGGGCTGGTAGAACTCGATAAAAAGAAACATATTTTGTCTTTACCGTTTTTCAAATAAGTCCAAAATAACAGAGTTATTTTACTTTGAAAATTTAAAAAAAAATCATTTCCTGCTTAAATTTTGAGAACCACTGGATTTTTCCTGGGTTTTCTTTTTTGTAAATTTAATCTACTATCTATGTTGCCATATTATCAAGAAATTATGTTTTTTAAAAATTAAAAAAAAATTGTATTATTTAAGACCCACCCTGTATATTTATATTATATTGGATTAAAAGACCTTTTTCATTTTTCTTTTAGAGGGAGGCTGTCGGTTCTTTCATCATAATTTTTGCGTTGGTAACATGTAACATCTACTCTGTGCCCTGTGTCCCATGAGTGCTGACAAATCTTAGATTTGCGAAAATCGCCTTTTTTAAAATAAACTTTATGTCCTGTCATTCGAACATTTAAGGCTTTAGATATTTCACCAATAAATTTATCACATTCACACATTCTATAAAGGGTGTCCCAGAAATAAGTGCAAATATTTTAACTAGTAGTATAGTTCAACCCTAGAAACACGCCTATGAGGATTTTTTCGCGAAAAAAAAATTTTGAAAATTCGAAATTTTTTGAAAAATTTTTGGGAATTTTTTTAGTTTTTAGTTAAAAAACATAATTTCTTGATAATATGGCAACATAGGTTTATTAAATTTACAAGAAAGAAAATCCAGAAAAAAACCAGTGGTTCTCAAAATTTGAGCAAAAAATCATTTTTTTTGGAAATTTTCAAAGTAAAATAACTCCGTTATTTTGGACTTATTTGAAAACGATAAAGAGAAAATATGTTTCTTTTATCGAGATCTACCACCCCTTAAAATATTTGCACTTATTTCTGGGACACCCTGTATAACATGTTCTTTGGCTTAGTGTAGGTTAAGATACGAAGTGTTTTACTAGTAATATACCACTGACAAATTGGTCTTCGTTGGAACAATGCAGTAGTGTTCCCAAAAATAACTTTTATTTTGTAGATTTTCTTACAGCGCTTTCAGATGTAGCGGACGGTACGCGCGAGCGTCCGCGCAGATGTTTTTTCAATATAGCTCATCCGGACGGAGCATATGCGACCCATGTGAAATTGTTCATATATATGCTCATGGTACTTGCTCGAAGTCGCGGACGCTCCGCTCCATCTGAAAACGCTGTTACAGTGGCGAATAACCCTAGAATTTTTTTCAAGAAATGAACCCGCCAAAAATGGGTAAACATTATTAAAAAAAACAGTTTGTTCCTTTTTTGCGTATTGATATTTTTATAATATTGTAGAAACAAAAACCTTATTTGTATTTATTTTTTTGCGCTGTGTATCATATCTATGAGTATTACGAAAAAGAAGTATGTGCTAACAACACCGACTCTAGCTACGTGCTACGTGGACATCGAACTTACATCCTGCTGGTCGAGGATGCGCGAGTTGACGTTCTGGATGGGGTAGATGCCCATGGAGAGGGTGCGCGGTTCCGGCGAGTGCGCTCCCTGGATCAACGGCAGCGGCAGCAGGAAAAAAGGCAAAAGGCACACTGGTTACGCGCCTGCTCCAGGCACAGATTTATATCACTCGTATAAACAAAAAATTACGATATCGGCCACAGGCCACAGGGATAGTTTGCTACGAAATGGAGTGGGTATACTGTTTTGTTTGGAAAGGGTTGCAGATTATACTATAAGCTTCGTTTAGGGTTTCCATACAAGTTTTTGGAAATTCCGGACAAGTGAGCTCTGAAATTCGGACAGAATCCGGAATTTATTTATGTAAAGTTTGACTAACGAGGGAATATCTTACAGTGACAGTTGTCTGTCATTTTAATTGACAGGTAAATTGTATTTTCTGTCATTGTTTGGATGTCGTCTGACGATATTCGTCGTCTAACGAGTCGTTGAATAGACGGACAGACTTTGCTTTAAAGTAGAAAATAAAGACAGTTGAAAAAATATACTCTTTAGCCCTTGCGAGCAGTACTAAAATTTGTACTGAATACGTTACAAATGACATCAGAATTGGGTTATCCTTTTTTGATAGA